TGGCACCGATGTCAGAGAGGTTAAAGAGTAATCGTCTATCGTGGTATGGGCATGTAATGCGTAGGAATGAAGATCATATCCTAAGGACGGTGTTACATATGAATGTGGATGGTTATAAGGGTAGAGGAAGACCGAAAAAGAGATGGATGGACTGTGTGAAAGATGATATGGTGAGAAAGGGAGTAAATAACGGAATGACTACGAACAGAGATGAATGGAAGAGAAAAACATATTACGCCGACCCCAAATAAATGGGATAAGGAAGAAGCAGATGATGGTCATATTGCTAGCAATATACCAAGTCAGGTTGACCTCCACGCGGTTCCCGTCCCAGTCCCGTCAAAATCCAGTCCCGTCGAGGTCCAGCCATTTCATAGATTAGCCGGAACAAACAAATAGACAAAAATTGTAAAAAATGTTATTTTGGTGTAAATTAATATTCATATGCATGTAGTAAAAATTGGTTATTTCAATATTCAGACACTCCAATTGTTTATATGTATAGATGTATAGATTAATTATTTTTTAATGTCTGTTAATTAATTAGGAAAAACCATATTATCTTATCTGTGGTAATACGAAATGTTATGACAACAACTGTAATAATGCCAAAGATGGAGGAGAAGAGAAAAAAAAACTGTAATAATATCAATGCATCTGTCTCTAGTGGACTGTATTTTATGACAATAGGATTGTTAAGAAAAGCTCTGCTACCAAAGATGGTGTAGAATAAATGTGGAAGCATGTGAGAGAAAGTCAGTCGTACCTTTTAGATGCGCCAAGATTTTCGCTGATCTTCAGCTCGTATCAGAGTCCAGGATAGATAATAGCACAATATTACTGTTCAAGAACTTGCACTCGTTAGGTTTATAACACATTATTACTTTTAGGTTAGAAACCCCTCCGATCGATCCCCGTCCAATTCAAACGGGGACCGATGTTACGACGGCCCGAGCCGAGGTTCGAACCCCTAGTGGTGGCCTCAGACTAAAGTCGTATCCGTCAGGCGGGAGTTGGCCTTCAGCCGCTCCATAAGTCCTTCCTTTGGTTTGGAGTGCCATCTGCACTCGCCTCCTAACGTCCGGTGAAGATGTAAAGGCCAGCTCCGGCCAACAGCATTAGAGTAGTCCGAAAAAAAAAAGTTTAGAAACGTCTCGCGCGCGTGTCGACTCGGTAAGGAGTTCTTTGCAATAGTCCACGTAATGGTATGTAAAAAAGGAGGAAAAAAGAGGGTAGGCCAAATATGACTACCTACATTTTTGAACAAGGATTATGAGCAAGAGATTCATAATTTAGAGAACACTCACCTTGTACTGGGAGGATTGCCGGTTCGGTTTCAGCGAGGCTTCCCAGTCCTTCTTGAACTTGCCTTTTGAACGGGTTACCTGTTTACCGCCAAAACCGACAATAGTTGCTCTACAGCATCAACTCTTGCGTTTTTTTATTGTTTCGTAAATAAACTAATAATAATATTTGCGTATAAAATATTTTTTACAACAACGAGAATGCGAACACCAAACGATAAAACGACTTCCACCCTCGCTTTTTTTTTCAATTTTTAACATTTTTTTTTTAATTTTACGGCATTGGATATTCTCGCATGCGAGTCATTGTGAATAGTGAACACGAAACATGTTTAGCAATAATAGCCTATGTTTATTGCAAAATAAATAAAAATTAATTTGGTCTGTTGAATTAATATAAAATTATAGACCCACCTGAGTCAACAGTGTAAGCAGAGGAGGCACCAGTGTAAGATAGAATATAAGACAAGATGAGCACGAGGTCAAGTCACTCATTTAATCCAGAGGAATTTACCTGAAATTAACATAAAAATTATACATGTATGGGTGTAATGTACCATGTCAGGTCCACCTCCAAGCGGTTCCTGGAAACCACCGTGGCAAAATGGCATTTGCCAGGATGGGGGCCATTCAAGTATTACGTAAGCAGTATGCGAGGCGAGGGGGTCGGTCCTTTGCTTATTTTGGATGACATGGAGGGTAGAGGAGTCTAGATTATGATTACGTCATCGGTAGTTATTTACTTTTTTACATAATGGCAACCCTCACAGTCTTTGCTAAAAAAACAATACATTAATTGAAAAATGTTTACGTAAGCTTGGGGGAGGGGGTAAGAGCTTTGCTTATTTTGCTGACAAGGAAGATGGAGGGTAAATAATTGTAATAAATCTTCTTACATAATACGTGAACGGCCCCATGTGCTAACTGACCTGACCTCATGCTCATCCTATCCTCCACTGGTGCCCCGCCAGCATAAACTGTTAGCGCAGGCGGGTGACTCCTATGATATGTCAAATCTACCGTCAGTTCGGAATGCTTTCGAGCTAAGAACTGACAAGAAACTAAGCTCTTATTCTTTTCAAATGAGCTTGCACTTTATATTTACCTACCACCCATACTCTTACGTCTTCATTTTATCTTTTTATCTCAATTTAATTATTTTATCTCAACTTCGTTTACCATCAGATGGGCCGTTTGCTTGTTTGCCACCAACGTACTATTAAAAAAACTTTAGACTGTAATAAGGTTAGATTAGTAAGACCTTAGGGCGTCCATAAATTACGTCACAGCAATTTCGAGATTCTTGACCTCTCCCTCGTTCTTGTCACAATTTGTCACATTTGTGAGACTAAGCCCCTAGTGTGACATTACATATGTTGCCATTTTTAGGGTGGAAAGGGATTGTTAGTAATGTGGACTCTCGACCCCATTGCTAGTACCATGTCAGGTTGACCTCCACGCGGTTCCCCCTGGAAACCGTCGTAATAGCGAATAATTCCAGGTGAATTTATTACGATGGGCTAACTGAGCTGACCTCATGCTCATATTATCATCTTCCACTGTTGCCCCGGCCCGCGTAAACCGTTAGCGCAGGCGGGTGCACCATCATAAAATACCTAATTTAATGTAGTTCTTTTTATATTAATTTAAATTTCGTGTTTCAATACTGCCCTTATTTTTGTAAATGTGACATTAAGAAATTTAAATTTCCTTCCCACTCCCTTGTCACATTTCTTATCACCCCACACTATCAGTTCGTATCACCCCTTGTCATACTTTGTCTCACCCCCCTTTGTCACACTTTATATAACTGCTCTTGTCATACTTTGTCTCCCCCCCTTGTCACACTTTTTATGACTGCTCTTGTCACACTTTATCTCACCCCCTTTAACGTATGACGTAATTTATGAACAGCCGCTTCGAAAAAGAAATCAAGGACTTAGAATAATACGATCAATGAAATACATAATTTTTAATACATTTTTATTTAGCAATAAATATATTTAACGTTATTCATTAACAAGTATAAATAACTACTATATTTATACAAAACAAGCCGGTTTTTATCACGCAAATAGTTTTGTACAATTTCTATTACATTGTCAGAGTTAGTAAACATTTTAGGGGGAAGAGGTAAAGGTAACTTTTTTTTCTTATGGATGATAATAGAATGGTGCACTCGCCTGCGCTAACGGTATACGCTGGCGGGGCACCTGTGGAGAAACGGATGATCATGAGGTCAGGTCATTTATCACGATGGTCTCCAAGGGGAACAACGTGGATGTCAACCTAACATGGTACATTGATAGCAATGGGGTTATTAATCCATATTACTAACAATCCCCTTAACCCGACTAAAGGGAGCTATTGACCTCTAGCTATTAATATCTGGTCGATATTTACGTGGTTATGGGCTAACTACTGACCTGACGTCATACTCATCCTATTATCCTCCGCTGGTGCCCCGCCAACGTATACCGTTAGCGCAGGCGGGTGTATCATTCCATTATAAAACAATAAAAAAAGTAAGGACAGACGCCAATGGAACTCATTTCTGTCTACCCCGTAAATTATATATGCATTTATGTAACCAAATTATTACATAATAATTTAACAATACATTTGTATTTTTTATTACGCACTATTTTAATAATAATAACCCTGGACAATTCACACAGCGCCATCTAGTTCTAAGCTAAGCAGAGCTTGTGTCATGGGTATTAAACAACTTATAAAAATATTTAAAACACTGAATTTTTAATAGATACATAATAAGAAAACATCCAGAGCCATACAATCAATCATACTCATTAATTCCTCGCACGATGCAAATATTTGTATATTTGCATCATGCGAGGAATTGAACTCACGACTATAGGAAGTAATGCAACGTTTATATTCAGCCGCTTCCCCTGCCACTCGCGCTGCCGGAAATATTGACTCGCGCACGAAAACCTACAATCGAGGGAGCGCCTGAATGTAGTGGCAGCGCAATGGAATGGGACTCGCGTTTCCACTCGTGTTTGACTCGCGCGCTGCGAAAAACCTGACCACTCGGGCTGAGTGTGAATTGGGCATAAAGCAGTGTGCTAAACCGCTAGAGCACTAAGGTCATTTATATTTTCTTATTCTCGCGCCGCTCAAATTTAAATAAGTACTTAGCTGCCGTATCTCTGCCCACCCGGCTTCGCTCGGTGCTATAACTTTGCGAGTTTAGTATATATAGTAACATATACGAAATACGAATCAAGGTCATTTATATGATTCGTATTTTGGTTATACAAATACAAATCATACAAATCATAAAAACGTTATTTATTATAAGTTACAATTAATTTAAAAAATAATGTTTGACTGCACTATTGTATTAGGCAAAGACCTGTAAAAATAGATGAGTTGGAAAATATATAAATAAATAAATAATAGTCTGGAATAATGTATCTTAAAATAATGTAGCTTACTTTCTTCGTAACAAAATCCTCTCTCTCTCTCTCTTTCTCTCTCTGTCTGTCTCTATAGCTCTTAATACATTAGTATAGATTGAATAAATGCAAAAATAACTCGATAACTCTAATACCAACCGAGGCATCATCTATTATAATAATTAATCAATGACCCCTAAGTTGATCCAAAGAATTTGTTATGCATGATTTTTAAATTATCATCTCAACCGTGTCACACTAGGTCACATTTGTGACAAGCCTTTCCAATTGTTATGTCACATATTTAGCCATGTTACATCTATTCATGATAATATACTAAATTAGTAATCAGTTTTATTTCCATTTAAAATATTTATTAATGAAATGTGATGTTACGAAATTTATGACCAGTCCCCTATTGTCACATAATTCCGTAATTAGTCAACCCCCTCCCGTCCCTAAATGTGTGATGTACATTATAGATGCCACTACTGCATACATTTTTTTTCATTCAATATTACAATATTTGCGTTGAATATACTACAAAAATAATTTGATTTTATTTATACTAGCGGACGTCTAATGGTCACATTTTAACCATAATTTATATTTTATTATTAAGGTTCTATTGTCAGACTAAATGTATGTCTATATATATATATGCGGTGCCAAATGTATGGTTTTAAGTGTAATCTTTTATTTTATTATTACTCTAATAATTAAATAAAACATTACACTAATTAATTTTTAAGCATTATTATATAAAAAAATATCTTTTTATTAGAAAAAGGAATTTCATACTCCTCAGTATGATATAGTAGAAAGAACGGTATGAGGTAAATAGAGTATAAATGGTAAGTGTAATGTGTTGTTTTATTAATTTTAAGCATTAAGATATAAAAATATTATACTTCTGCATTCTCTTCTCCACATAAACTTCATCTGTGGCTAAATTCAAACTTCTACGTTGGCTTATTTTTCGTAAAAAGCTATACAAAGTTTTTGCATTACGTAATTAGCGTTACAAATAGAAAATTAATATATTAATAGCTTGCCCACCTACAAAACACCTTTTTCTACTAATCAAATAAATAAGAAAATCAGTCTTCACTATAAATTGATAATAAATCGGCGAAATTACTCTTTAATTGTATTTCATATTCCCGGTTATAAAATACACGGACATAATTATACCAAAATGAAGAAATAGGATATAACCTATAATTTTGGAGCGAAAAAGATCAGAAAGCATCGAGAATTGACCGGAAACAATAGAAAATGGCAGAAAAGATCGAAATACTTCAGAAAAAATGATGATAAGTCCGAAAAAGGTCAGAATACGATTGAAAAAGAGTGAAAAAGTTCTGAAAAGAGCCAAAAGTATGGAAAGTCTGGAAACTTCGGTCGTCTAGTCCTCGCTGGCCAGCATGTTGAACTTGTTCGCCATTGCTATAGTCTCCTCTTGGTCGCTATCACTGCTGTCATCACAGTCGGCGCTGTCACACGACTCTGTCCGCCTCTCGTCATCAGACTCCGACGTGATGGGACTGGATTCGTTATCTTCAGTTAATGCTTGCACCCACTTTATGTATTTTATCTCTTTACAAGTTGCGTAGGTTTCTGGAAAAAAAAACAACACAATAATAATGCAGTATCCCTGAACAATTCACAGTCCATCTAGTCCCAAACTAAACAGAACTTGTACTGTGAGTACTAGACCAATGATAGAAATATTAATTTTTTTCAGTAAATACATATAATATACATAGAAAACACCCAAATCGAAACAAATAATCACACTTTTGAATACAATAGTACCGTGTGAGGAATCGAACCAGCCACCATCGAAAGTAAATCGGTGTCTAATCCGCTATATCACCGTAGCAATCAAAATAAAACCATATATGTAATAATATCGTGAACCCAACTTTGTACATACTAAATATTTTCTTCTAAAATTGAAGTATTTATTTACATAATATTGGTACTGTATGTTGTTAAGAAAAAAAACTTCATTAGTAATATTTACCATAATTATTAATTCCATATTTAATTGAAAAAAAGGATTAAATCTTGTAAAACATTCTTGAACACTGTAAAAATTATTAAACAATATCCAACTCTTGAGATCACGTCATTGAAATGCAATACACAAAAGTTTTTACTATATTTGTTTGTCTGTGCGTTATACACCTCCGTACGATCAAAATTACGACGGCCTGAGCTGAGGTTCAACCCTAGCGGTGCCCTTACACTAAAGTCGTATCCGTTAAGTGGGAGTTGGCCTTCAGCTGCTCCATAAGTCCTTCCTTTGGTTTTAAGTGCCATCTGCAGTCGCCCTCTATCGTAAGGTGAAGCTATAAAGGCCAGCTGTGGCTAACAGAACATTAGAATAGTCCGAAAAAAAAGGGTCGCCAGTAATATAAATAAAATAAACATATATAAAAACAGTTATATATTTTATTTTATTCATTTTATTCTTTAATGCACAACAAAACTTGTACAAAGGCGAGCTTCATGCTGTATGGCATTCTACACCAGCTAACCTTTAGGTATACAGAAAGCGTTGTGGGGCAGTTATGCCAAAAAACAATTACAATGTTACTAATAAATATTATATAATATATATGAATGCAAATAAATATATACAAATAATAATATATAGTATACCTGATATTATATGTCATAATATAATATAGATAAATATAATACTAATACAATGCAATACAGTTATAAACAGTAAATATATACTCGATGCTTTGCGCGGACTGAACGGAAAACAATGTACCAGTTGAGATTCTCGCCAGTTTGTTTTAACTGAAGTAGCTAGCCGAACTGCACCATAGGGTGATATAAGATTACAACTTCATACTATAAAAAGATTAAGTGTTGAGAACCATGGGAACATAGTAATAATAAAACCTTTCTATTTTCAAATCCAACAGAAATTTTAACAAATAAATGTAAAATATGGTTAGTATATATTTTTTCTTATGATCTACTTGTTATTATAATTAATACTAATAATAATCAAACCCTGGACGACCCACAAGCGCCATCTGGTCCCAAACTAATCAGAGCATTTATTTATTATGGGTAGACAACTGAAATATATACTTAAATACATTTTTTGTCATAAATACATACGTAATGTACATATAAAACACCCAGAGCTTTGACGACCTCAGTGGTCAAGCGGTCTAGCACACCGCTTTACGTCCGATGGTCGCGGGTTCGATTCCTCGCACGGCACAAACATTTGTATTCATGAGTATGGGGTATTTTCTATGTATAATATGTATGTATATATACGAAAAAAAAATCTATGTACATGTATCAGTTATCTAGTACCCGTAACACAAGCTTTAGCTAGCTTAACTTGGGACCAGATGGCGATGTGTGATATGTCCTGAAATTATTATTATTATTTATTTATTTATTTAAAAAGAGCGATACAAACAATCACACTTAAGAATACAAATGTTTGTACTATCGAGGAATCGAACCCGCGACCATTGAAGTAAGCACCGCTTTACTTCAAAAGTACTAGACCAGTGGCCGGCAATGAGATGAACTTTAATAATAATATATATAATTTGAAGGGAATCAGCTACCTCGTATTATGAGAAGCTTACCTTGTTGCTCCGTGTACCCTGGCGGCCTCAGCCATAGACAAATCTTCCCATCCAGTGCCATCCGGAGTAAGCTGTTGGCCGCTCTGTATGTATCCAATCTGCAAGAAAACATTTAATCTATACACCACGCATTTTTTATTTTAAATAGATGATAATGGAATGGTGCACCCGCCTGTGCTAACGGTATACGCTGGCGGGGCACCAGTGGAGGATGATAAGATGAACATGAGGTCAGGTCAGTTAGCACATCGCGACATGCTCACTATGAATTTAACATGATTCGTGAAACAACTGACCAAAGCTAACATCACAAACTGTTCGGTACAATCTTTATATATAAAAATGTCACGTTGTTTGACGCGTAATTTTAAATTATTTTTCGATTTATTGATTTGCACATTGTGTCCGCGATTGATCCTAAACTAGATGAACTGATTGCAATATATATTGTTATGCACATACAAAAAAATGTATCACACAGTTGAATAAAGATATATTCTATTCATTCTATTCTATTTATAGTCGCTTATATTATTTTATTCAAGAACCTTAGCCACAGCAACACGTGACCCAGTCACCATTATTTAATATATGAATAGTAGTTAGGTGTTTTTGTCTATATATGTATATATACTCGTGTCACAGGTTTCGAAACGGCTTGACCGATTTTGATGAAATTTTATATGTATATTCAGTAGGTTGGAGAATAGGTTTATAACTATTTTAATACCCATCAGGGTTAAGGGCGGCTCATCCCAAAAATATTTTTTTTTATTTTTGATTATTACATGGCATTAAAAAATACTTACAAACCTAAAATTTCACCCTTTTACCATCAACCCTTATTTTTTAATAGCGATTTTAATTTATATGGCAAAACAACGTTTGCTGGGTCAGCTAGTCATTACATAAAACAAAGTCGCTGTCGCTGTCTGTTCCTATGTATGCTTAAATCTTTAAAACTATGCAACGGATTTTGATGCGGTTTATTTTATAGATAGAGTGATTCATGAGGAAGGTTTATATGTATAATACATGTACACCCGTGCAAAGCCGGGGCGAGTAGCAAGTTATTTTATAAACTATACCTGGCAGCTTTAGCGGTGAGGTAGCCTCGCTTCTTGGCCCAACCGTCGCAGATATCCCTCGGTGACCAAGAATCATCGTTTTCTGGGTGATCGATCCTTAACAACTTCGGTAGGTCCAGTCTTTCTGCTAAATATCTGTATAAAACAGTGTTCGTATTAATTTATTATTATTATTATTATATAGAATAATCAAGAACTAGAAAATATCTAGTTCCAAAATATTATAATGTTACCAAAAATATAAGATTATTAGAGAATGTATCCAAAAAATTATTCAAAAAGAAATTATTAAACTTTTTTGTAAACAAACATTGTGCTACCTGAGTCTACACTACAGTAATGTGTTTATGTGTATGTGTGTATATATAGATTAGAAATAAGTATTAAGTTAAACGCTTTTGCTACAGACAAACTGCTGAGCAGTTTTGCGTCTTATTGTTTTTATATCATGTTGTATAAATTTGTGTAAATAAATAAAAAAAATAAAAAAATAGAATATAATATTCATCATTTAAAAAAAAAATAAAGTTACAATATTTATTTAAAAGAGTAATACGCAAGTTTCTTGCTCGTTCTTCTTGTGATAAGTCTGTGTTCCGAATGAGCGGTAGAATAAGAAAATATGTCTATAACTACTTATTTAATACTAGCATACTTTAATACGCAACTTCGTCTGCATTCCGCTTGATATTTATCATTATATTTCGCCCAATCTAAATAAAATCTTTTTAAATTATAACATATATGTTATTCTGATGTATAAGCTATATTACTGTAAAATTTCACCAAAATCCATTTAGTAGTTTTTGCGTGAAAGAGTAACAAATATCCATACTCACAAACATTCCTCGTTTATAATATTGAAATAAGATAAGCACTTATGTAGAGTCAAATTTTTATAATAATGATTATTTTTATGTCCATACCTTATAGTAGTATATGGCTCTCGTAACTGCGCTATGGGATACGATCCCATAAGTATTTGTATAGGCCGTGGCACTTTTGAGGGGAAAACCAATCCGGGACAATCGCACAGTCTGACCTGTAAATTTATTAATACTAGTTGTACCCGCGACTTCGTCCACATGGAATTTAACTTTATTTTTCTAAAATAAAAGTAGCCTAAGTTACTTCTTATTACATCATCTACCTGCCAATATAAGTACCGTCAAAATCGGTCTATCCATTTCAGAGATTAGCCGGAACAAACAGAGAGACAGACAAAAATTGTAAAAAATGTTATCTTGGTGTATGTACCGTATTTATATCCTTATGCATGTAGTTCAAATCTAATCTATTTAATTTTTTAAAATTTTCTAATGTTGTCCGTAGCTGGCCTTTACTGCGGACGATAGGGGGCGAGTGCAGATGGCACTCCAAACCAAAGGAAGGACTTATGGAGCGGCTAAAGAACAACTCCCGCCTGATGGCTATAACTTTTCTGAGGGCGCCGCTAGGGGGTTCCTCGCCTCAAAGTGTACATGTACTATACATATAAAACATCCTCTTGAATCACTCTATCTATTGCTAAAATTGCATTAAAATCTGTTACCTAGTTAAAAGATTTAAACAAACAGACAGCTGAACCGACTTCATTATACACATGTAAAGTTACCTGTTGAGTCAAAAATATTGTCTGGAAGTGCTTGGTGTGCCCTGGTGTTTTGGAGACGGATACCACCTTCTTCCCCATGATGGCATTCATGAGGGATGACTTCCCAACGTTGGGCTGCCCCACACAGCCTATGGTTAGTATACCATTTTTATATTTCTCATGTTTGTAATATGTTGTATCTGCTTTCTCTAGGATCGTTTCACCTGGAACAAAATATGATAAATACTGTGTTTAGATCACGAAAATAACATCAATCAATGTGTCTATCAATCTCTCTATCTATTCAACCATCAATCACAAACTGAATTTAACGGTTCAACTTAGCATGAAAGATAATAATAAACAATTTAGAAACTGACATGTCAACATATCATATACAAAAAACACTTTACATCACCCTTAAAAAGGCTGCCATTTTAAATACATGTCGAACTGTCTGGAAATAGACGAAAAGGACATAATACCAGTCACACAATAAGTACACACACACTCACAGTCATACATACACACACAACTGCACTTACTTTTATTTTGACCCGTAAGTGTGGTAAAAAACCAGCAAAAGCTGAGAAAATGCGACAATAGTGAAAATAATAGTAATAATAAATTAGGTATGATATAAAAGCTTGATATTTGTCTCCGTCTGAGTATTTTCTATGTATATTATGGATGTAATTACAAGAAAAATCATCATATATTTGTACGCTAAGAGAGTTCCCAGTCTAGAAGAGATACATAAGAAATACTCGTACATCTGGTATTTATAAAACAACCTCTGCTTACTTTGGGACTAGATAGCGCTGTATTAATTGTCTTGACATATTATTAATTTTACATAAAAAAACTCACCAACTTCAGTCTGCTCATCCTCTCCCAGCTCCACTTCAGACTCCTCCTTGATCTTCCTCTCCCAGGATGTGAGGTCCACCTCGTTGCCAACTATATCCTTGCATGCTTCAAAGATCTTGGTTGCACCTTCTGCACACATCTGCTGACGACCTTTCCTTCTCCGCACTTGAAGACCTGATTTACGATAGACAATTTAAAGTATTAGTCTGCCCAGTGGTCGAATATCGACTATAATTAAATTATCATTCAGTAAGACCATAGACAAATAATAATATATTTTTTTTTATGTACGGTAATGAAATGTTGCACCCGCCTGTGCTAACGATATACGCTGGCGGGGCACCGGTGGAGGATAAGATGAGCATGCGAGTGAAACCGCGGGTACAGCTGATGTAAGCATTACATAGTATAAAACATAAAACAAAGTCTAATGTATATATACATATGTACATATTTTATTTTTGTTTTTTTTTGTTACTTTTGATTCTATCCTAATTCATCACTTCTTTCTAAAAATCATACCAGCTTTATCCTTAGTTGATCCTCTCAAGTTGTATCCTGGACAGGATGTGAAGTATACCACATGCAGTCCAGGGAAGCTGCTGGTGAAGTAGTCCTGCCAGGCTGCCACGACGCCTGCTGGAACCAGGTCTATCTTGTTGAGCACCAGGATCATGTTCTTCTTCTGTTCTTTGACGACGTACTGGTAGAGGGACGGTGGAAACATCATGCCCTGGGAAAGAGGTATGATATTACATTAAACCAAACAATGTCAGAAATTAAAAGACACATTTAACCTCGGCGAGTGCAGATGGCACAGCAAAACAGTCCAAGGAATAACAGAAGGAAGGACTTATGGAGTGGCTGAAGGATAACACTTGCCTGACATATACAACTTTACTCTGAGGGCACCGTTAGGGCCCCCCCCTAACGGTGCCGAACCTCGGCTCAGGCCGTCGCAATTTCGATGCCCATTTGAATTGGACGGGGGATCGATCGAACAATCATTTTTTTTTTATAACACAGGGTACAAACGAGCATGCGGCTCACCTGATGTTAAGTGATTACCGCCGCCCATGAGCACCTGCAACACCAGGGGAACTGCAAGTACGTTGTCGGAAATAAAAAGGAATAAGCTTTTTTCATTGCTGGAACTCATGATACAAATACTCATGAATACAAATGTATGAGGAAAAAACCCCTGACCGTCAGAACTAAGTTGGTGTACTAAACCACTAGACCACAGAGGCTGGATTATAATGGATGGACTTACAGCATATCTGACGTCCACAATGAGCAGCAGTACATCACACATCTCCAGCACGCGCCACAGCTGTCTCCAGGTCTCCAAGTTCAGCTCGAAATATGACACATGCCTCCAGTGTTCTGAAGATTGCAGTCCGTCCACATAGTTCTGTCAATAATTATATAGTTGTGTCAATATTTATAAAGTTTTATCAATTTTATATAGTTGTGTCAATTATTATACAGTTGTGTCAATATTTATACAGTTCTCTCAATTATTATATAGTTGTGTCAAATATTATACAGTTGTGTCAATATTTAAACAGTTCTCTCAATTATTATATAGTTCTGTCAATTATATCATAGCTCTGTCAATTATTATATGGTTGTGTCAATTATTATACAGTTGTGTTATTATTTATACAGTTCTGCCAATTATTATATAGTTGTGACAGATATAGATTTCTCAATTATTATACAGTTGTGTCAATATTTATACAGTTCTCTCAATTATTATATAGTTGTGTCAAATATTAAATGTACTGTATGTAACTAAATGTATTATCTGCAGATTTTGCCAAGCTGAGGAGAAAATGTCACTACATATCCTATGTGGTTCGGCACACATGCATAAACAAATTTTCATTCTAGAGGATGAAGATGCCTCTTATCCCGTAATTTCACATGTTATCCACTCACCTTATTATTCTTTTTTTTCTTAGTGATAGGTTTGGGCTATTGTCAGGTGCTTAGACCACTACTACTAGTTGCACTGCAATCTACATAGATCTATTATATTTGCTTTTTTTCAAAGCTCACTACCAAGACTCGTCAGGGACAAGAATTGAAAGATATTCTTGTAAGGAGTGATGGTTTTTATCTCGTCAGGATAGAGTGTTTACTTTCCAAAGGAGATATTTCTTTTATTTCTTGCATGAGTGGACTACAACCATATAGGATGTTACTAGTGTTTTATCGTCAGCTTTCCACTCACCTTAAAGTATCTTTGTTCTTGTGCATCCAATTGAGCTGGTTTCATGCTGAAATCCCAAGGTGGACGCTTGGGGAATGTCAGGTCAGCTGGGAAATAATCTGATGGGTCTACTTCCATGTCCTTCTCTGGAACTGGATTAAGGGACTGTCTGAAAGTATTACAACAATAATTTAAAACCTTGCATAATTAACACAGCGCCATCTAGTCTCACAGTAAGCAGAGCTTGTGTTATGGGTACTAGAATACCGATAGAAATACTTAGATATATTTGTTTTATTTCTTATTTGTTATGTCAACTGCAACCATATGCCAACATGCCTGCTAAGCACTGCTTAGCTTTAGTTTAGATGACGTTATGTGAGATGTCCTGAGATATTATTATTAACTGATAAAAAGATAGATTGATTATGTAATATCCATCCATCTTTTGTCAATCCTACTCTCCCATTCAACCCATTCAAATTCATGTCAAACATTTTCTTTACTCCACTACGACTACCACTTTAATGATATAATTTAAAAAGTTTATAGAAAAATTCTTGTAACTTACAGAGCCTCTTCCTTCTTAACTTTCATGTCTTCGTCTGTTTCTCGGTAGAACTTGAGTGCATAGCGGTTGGCATCACCTCGTCCACCGCGGCCCTTACTCGGCTGGTAGTTCACAGACACGACATCATAAGAACTGGAGCCTGATGATGCTGATGAAAAAAAAAACAATTATAAATAATATAGTTTCTCGCTAATACCCCACAACGCTTTCTGTTTATACCCTAAGGTCAGCTGGGAGAGAATGCCATGTGGCATTAAACCTGCCTGTTGATTTTTTAGTTCAATAAAGAATAAACAATTAAATAAACAGAGCCAGTGATTTCATACCCATATGACTATTTTAATTTTTTATGGATAATGGAATGGTTCATCAATGATTTATGCTGGAGGGCACTCCAGTGGAGTAAATATGAGCAAGAGGTCATGTCAGTTAGTCCATCATGGCAAATTCACCAGGAACTCACCTGCCTGACGTATGTGACTTTAGTCTACGGCACTGATTAGTCTGAACACTTTGGAAAAAGTGGTCTATATCAACCCCCAGAGGTCTATGACAAATTGCAAAGGGTCTAAAATCGCGGTCATCTTGTTTGTACTTTATGTTTTTAACACTAAACTTTACTACAGTTAGAAATTTACAATAAATTCCAGGTAAGAATGGGGGGTCTACCCAAACCGAAAAACATGGCAAGGGGCCTACGACACAAAAAATGTTTGGGAACCTCTGGTCTAAGGCCACGGCTAGGGGTAGGAAAGTTCTCGGCTGAAGTTCGGCAAATTTTATCATTTCATCCTTTAATTGAAAATAAGCAAAATTTAATTTATATTTAGGTATGGATTTATCCATTAAAAGAAAATACTTACTCGACAAAAGAAGAGTTCTGTTCTGTTTATTTTTCTTCGTTTGCAACTGCTGTTTCTTCGCTTTCCCGCTAAAAGGAGTTTTGCGTTTGGCTTGCGGCATTCTAACCTTTTTAATACTGAAATATATAATTACAAAATAAATTTAAAAACTGTATAAATTAAGTATAAATAATCGCGCGATTGGAATTTAAAGTATAATTAACTATTAAATGGAATATTTATCCAAAAATATGAGTTTTAAAACTTATTACGTCTCAAAATCAATTAGGAAAGTACTTACAATGTTTACAATTTAAAAAATCTTATACATAGAAGAATCTCAAACAACTTTCTTAATAGTATTATATTTTTTTCTATTAAAGCAGAAAATATTAGGTGATATTGATAAGGAATTCGTAATGAAAATATTATTATTATTATCCGGTTTCCGGTTGATTGACAATGAATTTTTTTTTCTTTTTGTATGGCATTAACCCCTATTTTGTTGTATTTGACAATGACGTCTAGTGTATTTTTTTATTACGACTCTGAACACTAGTTATGACTTAGTGTTGCTAGCTTTGAGTAAGCTCATTGTGCAGACGTGTACGTTTTACTCTTTAGTACTATCTGCTTATTCTATTGTTGATATTTAATTCTAATATTTCAAAGTCTTGCAATGATTTACTAGCATTTTAAATGAATAACATTTAATTGGTTTACCAAAATTTCTTAACGGTCTATATCGTTTTGTATCACTTTGCACAAAAAGGGAATAAAATACTACCAAAGTTTACGGTAGAACTAATAAAATAGCCGACTACGATGAAGTATATCAAAAGCAATAACACTACTTAATAAAATATTATCCAGCTTTGACAATATTTAACATTTATTTTCCATGGCTAGGAATGTCATTTCCAGTTACATACGTCAAGCTTTACTAAAATAGGTTCTTTTTATTACACTTTTTATACAATAATTGTATTGATTCGCTCATTATACTTTCTAAACCGTTTTCATAAACAATTTATTTTCCAATATATTATTATCTTATACGTATAACATAATTAATGTTATAGATTGCTATATAGTCATTATTTTAAATAATCACTCGTCATTAGTCGGTGTCCATAATGAAGTTGAGTTCATAAACATCAAAAAATGTTTATTTGTTTTTACCATTTAAAATATAATTCATAAAAAACAAGTGAATACGAGACATAACGTACCTACGTATTTACTTTATAAATACATATATTGCAAAAGTAGTAATCGGAGTGACAACAGAACTTTATCAACCGAATAAATTTCAGTTGACTTTATAAAACACCCAATTTTATAACCTATAAAATTGACTTGATAGATACCTCAAATAGTAAATAATGTATTTTGTTTAATTTATACTAAGATAATTATAAATCAATTATTAAAGTAATAATGTTGCCTCTATCGCTTTTAAGAACGGCCCAAAACCATCCCATGCTGGTCGAATTAAAAAATGGCGAAACATACAACGGTCATTTAGTGAGTTGTGATAATTGGATGAACATTAATCTCAGAGAAGTTATTTGCACATCAAGAGACGGCGACAAGTTCTGGCGGATGCCGGAATGTTATATACGTGGAAGTACAATAAAATACCTTAGGATTCCTGATGAGGTTATTGATATGGTGAAGGAAGAAACTCAAGTGAAAGCGAGAGGTCGTAGCGAGATCTCGAAAGGGCGGGGAGGTGGTCAGAACATGAGATCAGGACGCGGCGGAGCAAGAGGTGCGTTCGGAAACCGCGGTAGGCCAGCACCTTTGGCGCGAGGTGGAGGGAATGTAGGACGGAATCCGCAACAGAATAAAAATAAAAAGTAGTGTTTATGTAGTTTATTTTTTTAATAAATTAAGTTTTTTATAAGTCAGCCAGTGTTTTATTGCTATAAGTCTTTGTAACCAGTGTGTCTTCAGTGACTCTTTGTATGCTAAAATAGTTATTAGTAAATAGAAATAAAACTAAACTAAGGTTGTAAATAGCCATATTATATTTTTTTATTCTACCACTCTTTTGGATAGTAGGCATCACAGGAAGACCAAGCAACAAACTTGCTTGTTGCTCTTTTAAATACTGTTGTTTAGCACTACATATTTAAGATTTTGTGAGAATAAAGAAAGATATTGTTACTTATTATTGTTGATGATAGCTACATTCCACTTTAAATGTCTTCTTGAAACTTGTTTTTGACAGTTTTACTGAATGTATAGCTTTATAAAATTCCAGAGCACGCAGGTGTTTCATCATCTATACTAGATATATTAATATATTTGAAAATACTATACCTGTACTATTGGTAGAGTTCACTGTACCATGGGAAACAAATATACCTAAAGACCATTCAATAAAAACAAATAAATAATACAATTTAACAAACAAATTAACGTAAAATGTCTTATGTGGTTAATTCATATATAATAATAATAGCCCTTTTTTCCAAAAGTTGAAGTACATTTGCTGCTTTACAAAATGTCCCACAACTCGGTGTGCCTTTTGGCACAGGCCTCCTCCAGCTCTCTCCACTGAGCTGTGTTATGCAACCCTGTTCCAGAACGGTCCCAGAGTCAGGTTGATGTCATCTTTCCATTGTGTTCTTTGGAGACCCTGTCTTCTGGTCCCGTCCCTAGGATACCAGAGAGTCACTTGTTGGTTAATTCATATAAGGTCCAAGTAAGAGGCAGAGGTATACCAGTGAAATCACTACGGTCTTTTAAAAAGTCTAGGCCTTTCTAGCACTGCAGTAAGTTTTATATTAGAAATCTGGAACAGACAAGTCTGAAGCCTAATGCAGGCTCCTTCTAGAATTGTCTGAGCAGGGATAGATACATGAGCGGTGGAAGGAATGTGTTGATGTACATTAGTAAAGAGCCCCGTAAACCTACACCCGGGTCATAACACCCGGGAACTGGAGTTTTCCATTCTGCCACACCCGTACTGTGAATCCATACAATGCTAAGAAGTTTGTCGCAAAATCAATTACCATGTTAATTTGTTACTACCTACATAATTCAAGAATGCTGCATTTTTGTATTAATTTTACGCTCAATTAGTAAATTGTAATTTCACAGTGCCATGTCGCAAATAGTCGAAAAAATTCTGTTAATACATAATTAAATTAACAAATAACAATTTAAGGGGAAAATAAATAATAATACTATAGTATATTTTTTAAATGTATTTTATAAATTACATATGTATTTATCAATACATTAATCATATAGATTTATTTTTAATGGATGATAATGGAATGGTTTTGCTGGCGTGGCACCAGTGGAAGATGATAAGATGAGCATGAGGTCAGATCAGTTAGCCTATCGTGGTAATTTCACCAGGAATTTATATGATGGTTTCCAGTGGCAACCGGGTGGAGGTCAACCTGACATGGTACATTGCTAGCAATGGAGTCATCAGTCCACATTACTAACCCTTTCTCCCTATTGTATTATATTAAATAATCTGCACATTTGTTGGTGAGTCACTTATTCGTGGTTACCCAAGAGTATTGTCCGATCTTGAATCATAGCCAGCAATTGTTTTTTCATTACACAGTTGATAATACTACTAGAAATATAGTACGAGTACTGGCATTATCATTTTATGGTAAGTCCCAGTACATACTGCAATAACCTGATGTCATGCTCATCTTATCATCCTCCACTCGTAACCTGCCAGCGTAATACCATTAGTGCAGACGTATACACCATTCCATAAACACAAATAAAAGAAATTATCACGCTTGCCCTTAATTTCGTAAGGTCAACTATCATTAGTTAGGATATTTTTAATAGCAACGTTTTGTTTCGAAAACATAAGTTATTATATTTTTAATTACTCAGCGAGGATGTATATTCTAACATTGAGTAAGTACCTGTTCTGGAGAGTATTTTCTATTTAATTACATATAATGAATTAGTGCACCCGCCTGCGCTGAAATGGAATAAGTGTATGATCATAGACCATGCATGAAGTCAGGTTAATTAGTCGCGTTGTGATGAATTTTCCGACAATTAACTATGGCGAAAACTGACAGCTCTATGACTATATAGCAAGGTACCATGTCACGTGACGTCCACACGGTCCCCCTATCTCCTGTAAACCATCACGGTTAATTCGCCATGATGGGTTGACTTGAATTCTTTGTTATACTGTTATCCTCTACTAGCCTACACAGAATAGGTGGATGCACCATTCCATATTCATCCATTAAAAAAAACTTATACGCGATCGTTGCTTTACGCCAGCGTGATTATTTACAAAGTCTTAAGGTTTCACGCTATGGTTGCCAATTCCGCCAGTGTTCCGATCATATATAACTTGTTAAGGTTTCTATAATGTATTTAACAATATATTACAGAGTTCCTTACTATATGCTTCTTTTTAAAAAGTCCGACTGAGAGGAGGAAATTCCGAAGTTACAATTACATGAAGAAACCGAACAACCGCTTCGAGCAAGTCGACTTATGGTTCATGAGCCACGACGATAGCATTTTTATTGAAATACCCGAGCATTACTGATATGATTTAAAAAAATATATTTTTATTAAATATTCCCGCCCTTTTCTGTACAATTAAAAAAAAATACCAATTTTATATGTCCATTTCAAAAAAAGTTTTCTATTATTTTCCAGTCAATTTTATTTTACTATACCTATAGAGTTATGACTCAGTTTATTTGTTCGAAAACCAGCATCTTACAATCCAATAAATTAAATCAACAGTACATTTCCAGAGAAAGCCAACAAACAGGTTTCCAGGGACTTAGCAAAAGGAAAAATAAAATGTCGTTGCCACCAGAAAATTTAGGAAGTACAAATCAAATAACTGCTCAATAAAACATAAATAAATTCGGACCTAATGCTTCTGGATTAATCTAGATGTAGACATATATATATGAAATGAGAGCATATCTCTATATAACTAGAAGACACGGCCACGCGTTGCTGTGTCTAAGGTTCTTGAATAAAACAACACACGGACATAAATGTAAGATGTAAGCTACTCTATCTTTCAAGTTGGATCAAATTGCACACAATATACAAATCAAATTTGCAATCGGTTCAGTAGGAGTCCATCGCGGTCAAACAACGTGACACGAAATTTTTACATATAAAGTTTTACAGTTTACGCGTTGTCTACTAACACAATATGGATGTAATCAAAATAAATAAATAGGCTCCCCAAAAAAAAAACAACAATATATTAATTCCAAAATAAATAAATAGGCTAAAAAAAACAACAATATATTAATTTATTACTTGTATATTTTGACTTTGTATAAAAAGACTATGTTTAAATTAAAAATACTTTCATATTATGGCATTTGTTCTTATAATATAGACTTAAACAATATTGCTATAAACTTCAGTATCGCGTAGCAGTATCATTGTAATTGAGTATTTGAATCTCGGTGGTCTAACGGTTTACCACACCGCCTCACTTCTAAAAGCGGGTTCGATTCCTCGCACGATGCTAACTACAAACCTTATTATAATTATACATGTGTAATTTAAATACATTATGTTTGTTTTATGTTTACTGCATATTGCCAATTAGGTTTATAACTATTGCACCTTTAAAAAGAAAAATCTAAATATATAACTCAATGGTGACTAACTTAGTGATCTATCAACGCACAGCCCAAACCACTCGGATCGGGCTGAAATTTGGCATGCAGGTAGATGTTATGACGTAGGCAACAGCCAATAAAGGATTTTGATAAATTCCACCCTTAAGGGGATTAATTAACGCGTGCGAAGCCGTGGGTAAAAGCTAGTATAAAATATACATAGTATGTAGGTACAAAAGGCGGTCTTATCGCTTAAGCGATAATTTTCCAGACAAAATTTGGGTAAAGGAGAAAACACAGAAGGTACACCATCCTGCGTTATCCATAATATTTTTTTTTTAAGATAGGCCACAATCTATGTTTAAAATATTGTATTAATGAATATAATTGTTTGTATTGGTCTGGACATTTTCTATTATGTATGTATATACACAAAATATAAAATATTTCAGTATTTCTATCTGTTGTCTAGTACCAATTACACAAGCTCTGCTTGTCTTGGGACTAGATGGCGCCGTGTGAATTGTCCAGGGTTATTATTATTATTATTTATACTACATTTTGTATAATAGGCACAGGGTGTATAGGCCCTATGTTGCCAGTTACGTTTTGTTGGAAATAGTTCATGCGGTTCGCGAGATCCATTCCCGGGTAGGGCTCTTCTTTCTTTGCAGGCGGTGGTTGCGCTCGGGGCTGGTACAGCTGGAAAATTAAAATAATAAGTATATAACGGTGGGATACAATGAACTTTTATTTTTAGTGGATGATAATGGAATGGTGCACCCGCCTGCGCTAACGGTTTACGCTGACGTGCACCAGTGGAGGATGATAAGATGAACATGAAGTAAGATCAGTTAGCCCAACGTGACAAATTCACCGGGAATTTATCACGATGGTTTCCAGGGGGAACCGCGTGGAGGTCGACCTGACATGGTACGTTGCTAGCAATCATTGCTTTCTTGATTTAATTGATTGATTTTAGAAATATGAAAGCGTAGCGGTTTTTGTATTGATTGCCGCATGCATTCCTGACATGGTACGTTGCTGAGCAATGGGATCATCAGTCCACATTGGTCGACAATGAACCCTAATTCTCTTATTAATTTTTAACCAGTTGGTTATATATTCAATATTATATTTAATTAAAAAAATAATATTACTGTATTTTTGTAGTAATGTGAACTGAGGACCCCCATGTCATTCAAATTCAAAAATCATTTATTCATGTAGGACATTTTAGCCGCTTATGAACGTCAAGTTTTACATTATAATTTTTTTCCCTACCGTCCAGTTCGGTA